GTGGAAGGGGGGGGGAAAAAAGGGAAAAAAAAAAGGGAAAGGGATTCCTGTAAAAAAAAACGTCAAAAAACAAACATTCCAAAAAAAATACCTTGCAGAAAAAAGAAATAAAAAAACACCTTTGTTTTCAGGCCCCCCCTCTCTGTACTCATACATTCATACCTTCAGAACACTGTTCAGGGCCTCTCTGTACTCACACATTCATACCTTCAGAACACTGTTCAGGGCCTCTCTGTACTCAAACTTCCTCAGGAAACGCTCGTGTTGAGGCACACTCTGCTTCTTTGTCTGTGCCACAAAGTATTCATCCTGGAGGGAAAACCAACCATACTTTGATTATCGCTAGAGAGTATATAAAGCATCAGAAGCATAGAGTGGGGGTGAGATTTCTCACATTTGCAGGCTGGTAGTGTTTCCCTCGTACGAAGTATCGATGTGTCCCTGGTCTCAGTTGACTGGACAGGAGACGCGAGTCTGAGGCTAGAGCCGGTTCCTCTCCTGATTTGACTGGTCGCTGCTTTATGGATAGGAGTCTGTTTGTCATTCCTACCACGAGGTGGCTGTCAGTTGGCTGATCAGGGGGGGAGAGGTGTAGGAGCATACTTACATACCGGGAAAAATGTTCTTCTTTTAGGGAGAAAATTCGGTTTAGTAAAACCCATGAATAGCTTGTCACGTTTAACTTCCCCCATGCACACTTTCAGAGACAAAGCACTATTTCAGCACCAGCATGCAACTAGTGGATGTTCTTAAAGTGCAGAGTACTGTAATACTCCATAGAGGTTTAGGTCTTACCGACATGGCCAGGCTAAGAACGGGCGCTGGGTAGCTCATACTATGGATAACACGGTAGTCCTCAACACTGTACACCTTTAGCTGTCTGAAGTGGCGGTAAGGAAGGAGGGAGGGAGGGAAGAGATAGTGGTGTTGGAGAACTCGGAACCATGGGTCATACAAGAGAACTACTTTGCTGGCATCTCAGCTGAAAAGTAATGGGTTCAACGCACTGTGTGGAGTACATTTCACACAGTGTTGGTGGTGTTACGCTGAACACCCATGCAGACACACATTGCGTCAGCAGCATATAAAGTGTTTTGATGGCTCACTTGTCGAGCCCGGCAGACAGAAGTCTTCTACAGCTTCCGTCAAATGCGAGTGAAGTGACGGTCTTCTGATGATTGGAGACACTGATCAGGGGCCTACCCCTCTCACCCCGGAGGAGGTCCCAGACCCGTACCACATTCCCTCCTGCACTCACTCCCATTCCACCAGAGGGGAACACCAGCAGTGTCTCCACCGGGTGTCCGTGGTCGCATTCCCATACCCCCGTTCCCGTTCTGAGGTCCCAGAGTCTTAGTTTGTGGTCGTAGGAACCGGACAGTACCAGATCACAGCTGGACGGGATACACACCACTCGGCGAACATAGTCCTACAGAAACAATGGGAATAAATCCCCACTTATTTGGAGTGTGCAAAAAAGCTTTACACCCCCATAACCCCCATGCAGAAAAATGGAAAAAAAATTTTTTTCATGTTTTACTTCCTCTGTATCAGTACCTCGTGCCCTCTGAGAGTTGTGACACAGGCTCCAGTAGCGAGGTCCCAGTTCCGTACCGAGGTGTCATCAGAACCGGACAGGACTCGGAGACCGTCCGGTGAAAAATGGACCGTCTTGACAGCTCTGCATATTATATGACGATATTGACAGCAAAAATTGCATGGGCTTACTTTGCATGCCCTTTGAACTGCCTCAAAATGGCTCTGCTGCCACAGTCAAACACCTAGTCCGAATTACATCATCAACAGATAACAAACAGGATTCCCCCATTACCTTGACCACGCCTCCTTCACTCCCGGCAACCAAGAGCTGTCCGTCATGTCGGAAGTGCCCAGAATAGGCCACCTCCTGAAACCTCGAAAGGCTCTTCCTCACCTCATTGGTCGCACTGCTGTACAGCTGCACCTGATTATCACGTGATACAATGCCCAGAGTCATGTGACAGGAAGCAGACTTCAACTGACTTTTGACCCAGCTGTGACAGCGAAGTCGTGGGGTTCAGTGGGAGAGAAGTGAATGCTCGTGACCGCCCCAGCCTCCTTGGAAACGATGGGGAACTAGGAAACGCAAAATAAGCGCGTAAAACACGCAGAGACCGCAAGCAGAGCCAAAAAAGAAGCCCTCATGGTCCCACCCACCTTGAATTTTCTCCAGAAGCTGTTTTCCTTGCTTTCCTCCGCGCTCCCGACTCGAGGGGTCGCCTTGAGTACCAGTCGCTTGAACTCGAACCTATCCACCACCGCCGCCATATCTCCAGCTCCACGTGGTGTGGGTCAAAGTTCATAGGTCCGTTTATGGTGTATTATCACTCGCAACGCGCGCGCAAATGTGCGAGAATCCTTAAAAATAAAAGTATATAGGTTGATGAAACGCATGATACAAAAATGAGGAAAGAAAGGGGCTAGATTGCATCGAGGGCCAAAAGAGTTCGCAAATGTTCCTGTGGTAGAAATACAGCGAGTTGCTCCTTCACTGATCCATCCACACCCTATATATAATTTCAGGGGATAAGAGGAGGGGATAGCGGAGGGGGTATCTTTACCTTCATGAGGTGCTGGTAGGCAGCTGGACCATGCACAACAGCACAGGCGTCCAATTTGCTCGTGACATACCCGTGGAATGAAAGCGCCCGCACTGGGTCACATGCAGCGAGCTGAGCAGGAGAGAAGACACGTCAGAGAGTTTATATATACTTTAAAAACAGGTTAGAGATGCAAACCTGTGTTTCCCGTTTTTCGTGTTCTGACTGCATTACTGTCGAACCTTTGTTTTCCGAACCACTCCCGGAAGAGTTGACCAGTTGACTTCACACAAAAACAAACATAATTTTACGTTGATACTAACGTGTTTTTCGTTTCAATGAGGTCTTACTCGTAGAGAATATCATTTTCAGTTGTTTCCATGACATCGTGCAAGATTTCAACACAAGCATTCACAATGGTACCGAACCGACTGGTGACACACCTACACAATACAGTCACAAAAGAGTTAAGCTATTTACTCGGAGGGTTAATCAGGGGGTGTGGTTTGGTGACTCACTGGTCATTGAGGGGAAGAAGAGAGGCCATTGCTAGACCTGACAGCTTACGATGTTGGACTTGTGACATGTCGTCTATCTGCACAAGACAGTGACCATGATTTTTTGGCTATACAGGCATATTATATGTAGCCCATTATAAACTGTACGTGCCTCTCTCAACTGCAAATGTGTGAACTCTCATTGTATTGTATATCTGACTTTTTCGGTCCAGAATTCGATGAGATGTCCAAAGAGAGAGGCTGGCTGTGTGAGACAGAGAAAGAGTGAGAGGAGGGGAACAAAAGGGGTGGTACTAGAAAGCTATCGTCACTCAGAGGAGAAAGAGGATTAGGGAGGAGAAACAGAGAGAGAGGGTCTCCTACAGTTTGCTGAGTCTGGGAGGCCATTTGCTGGAGGAAGGAGAAGAAAAAGGTAGAGTTTTGGAGCAGGATTCTTGCCAGCAGAGAGAGAGAGGCTGACACTGCTGGGGGGTGGTTCTAAATGGAGCAGGGGGGGGGGGGAGAGAGAAAGGGAAATATATAGGATGTGGAGAAGGAAAGAGAGATTATAGCTTGGCATTTTTCGGTGTAAATAGTGCATTAGTGGGAAGGAAGCTGTTGCGTAATTAACAATCCCTGTTAATGAACGTTATGTAACCAAAGCAACAGGTGTCTAACGGACAGCTGGTGGTCTACGTGAAATAAGACACCTGATTTTATACCCTACAAAATCATGCATGCCATCTGTCTAAAGATTACCCACAAACATTTGGTGATATACAGAATACATATATACCCCTACTGTATCAACAGCAGAAATACGTACCACTTCATCGAGGGTATCAGTGAAGAGGTTGGGAAGGATGGGTGAGATGAGAGAGGGGACGTGAGAAGGGTAGAGCTGGACTATGTGCTCCAGTACAGTCACAATGATGACAACGCTTTCTGATTTGACCTCGCGGATGTAGGATCGACAAGACTGCATTACAACCTCCGCACAGCTCTGTAAACAACAACAAACAAGTAGTAAAAACAACAAACGTGCTGTAAACAGAATAAAGACGACAACAGTGTAAATCAATGTAACATGCAAAATGTGGTAAACAATGTAAACATGTGAGTAAACAACAACAAAGTGTTTACCTGTATAAAAGTGTCGGGTTGTGATCCGCAGAGAATGCAGTAGCCGTCAAGAATATTGAAACACTGGTTGAGATTATCACTTGAGAAATCTACAGGAAAATAAACAAGTCATTCAAAACTTGACATCTCTGAATAAAGGACACCTTGGGGGCACCAAAAGCGTCCTTTATTCAGAGGCTTTCCTTATTTGGAGGTATATAAATTATGCATGCTCTGGTGTATTAGTATGGGAGGTGTTCTTTATTTGGAGTGTCCTTTATAGGTGTTCTTTATTTTGAGTGTCCTTTATAGAGGTGTTCTAGAGGTGTTCTTTAATTGGAGTGTCCTTTATAGAGGTGTTCTTTAATTGGAGTGTCCTTTTTCAGAGGTTTCACTATGAGGACACACTTGTAATGGAAGAGTTAGAGTCGCTAGCAGTGAGCCCCAGGAGTCCGGCGATGTTCGTTATCAGCCGGAGAAGGTGGGCGGAGCTTGCAGGAGAGTAGTGAATGAGTGACATCCTGTGAGAGTGGGAGGGGTTAATGATAAACCACATGGCGAACACAACCGTCGTTCATCATTTTTCGCTTCTCCAATATTCGAGTGATTGAAACTTTGTTTTGCCCAAAATCTATGCATAAGAGAGCCTGATTTTAACACGATGGATTCATACATGTTGTAAGATGTAGGTGAAAGTGAAAATGATGTCTGCGGATAAACTGTACCAAAGATCCAGTCCTTCTTCCATCAGATAAACATGTTCTGGCTAAGAGGGAGGGAAGGAGAGAGCGAGAGAGGAAGAAGATGAGAGGAAGGTCATTGCATCATTAACCCCGTCCCCACCGACCGCTGTCACATTAACCCCGTCCCCACTGACCGTATTCACGTCAGTCGCGAGATGAACCACGGGCAGTACAAACTCGTGTAGCTGAATAGACAGTGGCCCCAGGCCTCTCACAATATTAGTGAGAGTATTCAGAACACCGATTCGCAAGAGAGACGAGTTTTCCTGAGTTGAGGTCTCCCAGAGAGAGGGGAGACATTGGAGGAGTGTGGGGATGTGTGGCTGGATGTGTGATTCCATTCTCTCCATTAGGATGGACAGAACAGTCAGCACTCTCAACTGAGGAGAGGGAGAGGAGGGAGAGGAGAGGGAGGGGAGGGAGGGGAGGGAGAGGAGGGAGAGGGCGAGAAAGAGGAGAAAGAGGAGGGGGGAGAAGGAAGAGAAGGCAAACCTCTTCACAAGGGACAAAAGTCTCTATTTTTTGCGAGGTTCTAATATACCTTTGTGTCAGGTTGGCTGACAGTACAGAGCAATTGAACCAGGAGCTGGACACAGTCGGCCAAATACTTGAGAGGGAGAGATGCGAGGCAAGGGAACAGAGCAACCATGTAACCATGAGTTAATAGATTCTTACCGGAGAGAATTCTTCAGCCGAGAACTCAAAATCGTCAATCACTGAAAAAAATCCGCACTCAACTGGTACTGCCAGACTGATAGAAATTAGTGTACTTACCCAATCTGAGAGAGTCAGCCGCCGTGAGCCGTATCTGTAGAGCATGTGAAGGTCACATGATTATCACATGACATCATGTGACCTTCTCACCACTAGGTCTTCCTGGGGTCGAAGTACAGCGAGGAGGTTGAAGTATATGGACGTGAGTAGGGAGGGGGAGAGTTTGACTGTTGCCCAGTTACCAATCAGCCACACCACTCGATGCCTCACTATCTTGTACCTATACACATCGATCATTTGAAAACAGAGCGCGATACGAAGCTACAGTGCGTCACATTTTGCAATACAGTGTGTTAGTCCCGCGGAAGCAAGTGCATTCAGGTAGCTTTTCTATGTCAAAATAAGACTCCTATAACACTGCAATTGTCTTGGCCTTCGCCCCCGCTAAGTGTACTTCATGCACTGCATAACTCCCATGTTTACATTATACAGTCACTTGAGAGGACAGTTGAGCACGAGAAATGTACATCGTCTGAAACAATTATGCCATTTAAAGCACACTTAGAAGGGAAGGGCTGGGTACAAGCCAAGGCAAACAAATTAGTCTTGTTCACATTAAACTTGCTGGAGCCTAGAACACAGACAAACAGAGGCGCCACCGTGTGGTGGGATTACACAACTTTAGACCTTCCACAAAAGACCATGAACTTATCACCAATCTAGGTACACGAGCTAACGTGTGCTTCTTTCGTCCTATCTTGTTGCCCCTATTCCTATCTCACCTTACAGAAACTAGGAGATAAAGCTAACTAGGACAGGGTCAGCAAGATAGAAAGAAATAGGGATATGAACTCTGTACAAGGATGCTTCGCCACGGGGCAATATTACCTTGACTCGTTGACTTGCAGCTCTGCAAGCAGCTGCCTCTGGTACCAACTGTCGAAGTCTATGTCGTCATAGAGCTGGAAGGCTCCCAAACCTGCCGCCTTGTACACTGAGAGAGAAAGACATTGCAGGAGACACGGTGTGTGTGGGTGACTCACTGCGATCTACCATTGAACATGTAACACGAACATTGTGTAACTTTTGATTGGGGTGCATGGTAACGGTTACCTGAAACGAACAATTCGTTCAAGATAAGTCGTACCTGCCTCCTTTAGTCTGAGGGAGTCAAACTCAGCACTTGCATCCACAGCTACAGACAAACATGTAGCATTCAGCAATCACACTCCTCCTTGTGCACGTATTAATAATTATGGCTGTGAATTACAACCACAACCTACCCAACCCCTACCCACAAAAATGTTGGTTGGTTCGTAACAAGGAAAATTTTGGCGCCTCTCGAATACTATTTTAGCCCCTTCTTGTACATGATCGTAAAAACTTAATTTCTCCCACCGAAGTTTCAAGCGATATTGTGGTATATAGCTTACCCTGAACATTTCTGATGAGCGTTAGGACAGTTGGTGTTAGTGTTTGTTGGTATTCGTGTAGTAGACAGACGTACATGGTTTCAACACATACCTTGACGGAGGAGGATGGAGAGGGAACAGAGGCGGAAGATGACGCGGGATGGAGAGAGGCGAGAGAGAGAGAGAGAGGGGAGAGAGGAGAGAGGAGAGAGAGGGGAAACCAAAATGGGTGACATGAACACAGACACAAGGAACAACTAAATAAACCGCTACTTAAGATCGAGAGAATGAGAGAGAGAGGGAGAGGGAGAGAGGGAGAAATGGATAAAAGAAAGGGTACTCAAAATGGTAAGGCTTACTCGAAGGGAATACTGATGCACTTCACCGGTTTTCTCCTGAGCTGAACGACCACAATATATTTCATCACAATTCATACTCCACCAGGAATAAAATTAATGGTGAATATACTCACCAAATTCCTCCGCATCATCTTCCCAGTTCTGTAGCTCCTAAAAATAGTAACAGTTACTATTTATAGCCACGGGGGTAATGATTACATCATTATTGAGAGGACTACCTGTTGAGAGAGTGGCATGTAGTGACAGACTAGTCTTTGTAGAATAGTCTGACAGGTCGACGCCTTGAAAAAAGCCAGTTTAGCCTGCTGTGCGTCCATTACTTGGGGAGGTGGGACAGCTAATAGTGAAGGAGGAGGGGGAATGAAAAGGGAAGGGGGAGAAAGGAGGGAAAGGAGGGAGGGAGAAGAGGGGAAGGAGGGCGAGAGCGAGAGACAGGGGGAAGAATGGTACGTACATCGCTCAGTCTTAGCAATTAGCATGCCCAGTGGTATGTTGCATCATATTACATAAACATCATGTTGCATCGTCAAGGAAACCTGGACCACAGATAAGAGTCAAGAAACCCCGGAATAGAGATTCTGAAATGGAACGCGACAGGGCTCTAAGTGCGGTCATAAGTAGACGAGAGAGAAGTAAAGAGACAGGTCTGAAAATCAGGTGATGGAGAGAAACGATCTCATTAGCCGTGGTTCCGAGATCACCTGGGGGACGCTGCATTCCCAATACCTACAACCATTGCTAGAATAACACTCTAATTACTGATTAGTCAATGACAGGCTTCCGGAATAAGGGCTACCATGCTTGAAATAATTAGCAAGAAGGGAGCTCTTTGGAAATGCATTTTATGGACACTGTATATTATTATACCTTCTGTATATTTATTAATACTGTCACATAATGGTATATACACTATGGGTAAAAATGTGTGAAAATTTTTTCTCGCTTAGTAGAGTTTTGTGTAATGGTGCAGAAGAAAAGGTATGCAATACCTATCATACCTATACATTAAACTTTTTACGAGACTGTTGTGGTGTGCATATATGTTTTATAGCACGAAGTGTTATACGTACACTCGGATAGTTGCAGGCTGGTCGGCAGGTTATAGTCTTCGCACTTTATGATCTGTTTGAGAAGATTCATGGCCTGTATGATGAACCTTTCGTACAGCTGCCCTGGAAGACAACACACACGGAGAGAGAGAGTGTGTGTGGTGAGAGAGAGAGAGAGAGAGAGAGAGAGAGGAGAGAGAGAAGAGAAGACGGAGAGAGGAGAGAGATGAGAGGACGAGGAGCAGAGAAGAGCAGAGAGAGAGAGAGCAGAAGCAGAGAGAGAGAGAGAACGATTTCGTTTCACATTCAGAGCTTTCGTATATTATGTGTACATACCTTCGTCCCTTGGCTCTACAATGGTGGTGTACACCAGCTGAAGTGTCGGGGTCAAGAATGAAACATACCCTATCGGATGGTGACTCTGTACTTCTTGAAGCTGAGGGTAAACAAATCTGAGCATTCTCGGAAAATTTAAACAGGCTTTTTTTTACAGTTTTCATCATTAGTGTAATGTTCTTCTCCAGTGAATTTGCAGTTGCGTGTTCTTGCGAGAGCTGAGACCCTGAATCAGAGGAGATCATGTGAGAGTCATGTGACAGGTTGGGGTGGATCAGGTGAGCTCTCACTCACTGAGTTCCAAAAACACCGGTACACGATCGAGAACTTGGTGTAGGAATTGCTGGTGCAAAACAGACAGATTAACAGGACATAAACAGGGCTAATCCACAGGCATTGGATGCACGCAACACACCAGTGCTTCGAGAACCCCGTGGAATTTTGGGAACCCGTACACCATCATCTGCCGCACAACTGTAGAGGTATATACAGACGGACAGGCACCAGAGGATGACAGGTGGATAAACAAATATAACAGGTATCGTACAAGATATACATGAGGAATACATGAAAACGAGAACGGCACCGTCTAGCCACAAGTCGTACCATTAGCGGCAGAAATTACATAGTCGGTGTAGCCCACCTGTAGGAAGTTGTAGATATCATGTACCTGTCTACAGAAACCACGAGAAATGAACATAAGGTACAAGGTGCTAAAGGGAGCCAGCAGGCTAGGGGGGAAGTTCGTAGCCTAGGGGACAACAAGCTTCATTCCCATGCAGCTCAAGCTACCGTGTCAATGTGAACAGGGTTGTAATTACTCCCAGCTATTGAGGTCACCGAGTTTTTCTGCCCCATCGGCATCTCCATTAGGGAGGTTCCGCAAACAGCCTCTACAGACATGATATCCGTACATCGATTATGTGACAAACTGATTGTACTAGTTTTGATGTAGGACGGCACCTACTTTTGAGGCATGTTCGAGACAGTTCCAGAGGAGCCAGAGCTAGCTCGAACCCCTCCTTCCCCAGACCAGCCAGACTCTCCTGCAGGTAGCTGGTCCACAGCTTGGCCAGATAGACAAAGAGGCTCTGCGTGATCTCGAAGAAGGCTTTTCGCTGGGGCATGAGCCGCCGTGTGGCGAGCGACTTGACGACATGTTTCATGGTACCCAGACTGCACTTCTGAAGTAGAGAGTTTGAACTCTGAACACCCTGCACGTATATACATATAACAACAATTATGTGTTTTATGGTGGTGATATGAGTCTGGTAGTTCGTTACTTTAGTGAGGAGAGGAATAAGTTCGGACCAGTTTTCGGGACAGTCCAGACGAGCAATCCGGGCCACCAAGACAGCTAACTGGGACGATACCTGCAGAAGAAGAAGTTAGTGTTGCCGTTCGTATGAACTAAACTATGTGGATGCCATGCATTTTTGAAAGGTAAACTCAGTAGCATGACCTCATCGAACTGTTTACATGTATCCATAATAATGCACAAGTGGCCAAAGTAGAACACAGTATAAAGTACAGAAATTCACCAAACCAGACAAACAGGTATAAAACGGGTAAATTTGCATTGTTATGGTACTAAGTTGACATATTTGACGACACAACATAAACAGCAATCGATGTTGAAAACACATGTTCTACATCCAATAGACATGCTTGGAATGTAGCCAAACACACAACAAGAATGCGAAGAAGCTCGAAAGCCCACAAGTGGCCAATAATAGCCGCACCTGCTGAACTGGCTCTTCTATACATTGCAACAGAGTGGTTCGTACCACAGCTTTTTCTTCTTCGGTGATGCCACTATATATATGGAGAGGAAGGGGGAGAGGAGGGAGGGATGAGGGTGAGGGTTAATCTGCCTACTTGGGAGCCCCAGGTCTCCAGTATCTTTCAACTCCGTTCTTTATGTAGGTGATTGCCATCCATCTCACGCTAGGATCCAAGCCCCTTTCACCTATCACAAACTAAAAGGAAATAGGGGGAAAAGGCGAAGTGGATGGATGTAAGAAGTTGAGGGAAGGGGGGGTATAATGAGCACGGTAATCAACGCATACAAACTTTACTGCTAACCGTTTGCAGTACAGAACAACTATAATATATCGCTGGACACATGTTGTGACCCTGTAAACTATACAACATTGTCCAACGCAAGTTGTACATGAGATTTATACATGATTCACGAGTGAAAGGAGAAAACACGTTTGTGCAGGTACTACGAGCATGTGCCTGCTGCACACGCAAAGCAGCAGCATCATGCTCGTACGTACAGCGTTGCGTGTGGCCCAGATATTACAACAGAGCTCATGCCAAAACATAGCCTGTTGGAATGTGCAGAGAGAGGATGCACAGTCATCAAGCCAGTGAGCTTGCAGTCATATTGTCTGGTCTAAACTCCGCGACTGTGAATATATCACTTCTCTCACTGCCTGGCGCCCAGAGCCAAGCCATGAATACACGATTGCTCTTACACCATAGGTTGAGTCTATACTGGGGCAAACTCACGGATAAAGCCGTGTAGAATCCCGGCTCTTTCTCCCACGCCTTTAACTGTTGTTCGCCAACCTTCAGCACGCTAGGATCCTGACTGCAAGCACACTGCAGCGCCTCAAACACCCTAGACCTAGCGTTCGCGCCACCCGACATGCTTCTTTGTACACACTCTAATTAGAGCGCCCTGGCCACGCCTACTGACTAATTATGCACAGACGGTGTGTATAAAATGACGGGAATTTTAGCGAAGAGCGAAGTATCGGGTCTCGTATCCGTCTGAAGAGGAGACGAAGGGATCGAAAATGTCCCGTCAGTTAGTCGTTCACCGGCCTTCCACCGTCACGAAGGCCTGGAGACGCCGAAACCTCTCCCTGTGTGCGTGTATCGCCTTCGTCGTGTGCTCCGTGTATCCGGTTTCAGGTCAAGACCAGAGATTAGGTGAGTTTCTCTTCTTTCCACCAGATCCACGTTCTTTCCGCTACAATTCCGTCGTTCCCGCGTGCGTGAGACGCTCCGTTTCATTTCTCTCGTGAATAATGGTCACTATGTGCTGTGTTTTGGGGGCCTTTGTCCGTCGCTAGACTGGTTTGTGTGCACACACTGCGTTTTATGGCGGTCGCTGCGGGCACACTAATATTGTAGGGTTTTATCTATAATCACTCTGTGTGGTCATGTTTACATCATACACAGTGATGGATAGTTACACTGAGATCACAGCTCTGTACGATCATTGTATGACGGTGTTTAGCTAAAATTTTGAGGTTCTTTTTTGTACGAAAATAATACGTTTGAAGGTCCTTTCGTGTAAAATCTACATGTAGTATACTAACGTGTAAATCGTTACTTCCACAATTTTCCTCGTGATAGACGTGCGATTCCTTTGAGCTCATCTGCTAATCGTATTAATGCACCGTTTGGACATTCCTTAACTTGTCGTGAATGTTCCACTGCAACTGCTCATAGGCTGAAAGTTGGCGTCGATGTTCCTCGTTGCTATCGTTTGCCTCTCTCTGCTTGTGTGGTCCTCTCTGTGAGTGTGAGAACAGAACGATAAGCGATGAATTATTACAACGTTAAGTGATACTTGCATCACATGACGGTCTGCGCATCTTGCAGTGCGCTTATCTGTGAAACAAGGTACCAACGAACACTCTCCTCCCAGCTTTCAAATTATACACCTCAGAATAAAGAAAACACTAGAAAACTGGGTTGTTTGCGGTTTATAGTCACAGGATTGAAATGAACGTGGAGGTACGTCTTTTTCAGAGTGTCCGTTAAAATTTCCACTGTACATGATGTTACTCCAGGTAAACACGTGATTTTACGTTTACATAGAAAAATTGCGTGCGAGTTGAACATGGCATACCGACCACACGTGATACAGCTCAACGCTCTAACTACCACCGTTTGTATATCGTGTACGTACAATGCCTCATTGCTGTGGCGGCATCTAGCTCTAACTCCCCCTCCATACTTTTCATGTTATTTTGCACCAAAAAAATCCCACTGTCCACCAGTTTGTAGTGTGCCCATATTACCTCAGTTTCTCCTACTAATCGCCCTAATAATTATGTTTTCCCCACATGGAAGCCCTCCTTTTGCTTGCTCATATTCCCGCTTGCTCATATTCCTGCTTGCTCATATTCCTGCTTGCTCATGTTCCCACGTGCTCAAATTCCCGCTTGCTCGTATTCCCGCTTGCTCATATTCCTGCTTGCTCATATTCCTGCTTGCTCATATCCTGCTTCACCTCACTTTATTTGGGTGCCTGTACCAATCCATCCTGTGGAACTATTTTTTCCTCCGCTCAAATTTTGCTGCCCCTCACCTAATTGGTGTGTTGATTACAGCCTGTGATACAATCAATTCTGTTTCCTCCGCTCGGCAACGTGTCTCTCTCCCCACTCAAATTTTCCTGCCAAAGGATTATATATTAGAGGAGTAATAGTGTCAATTCACCGCGCAATTCACCGCGCAATTGAAACCCATCTCTTACCCCTCGCGTGATTAGTGTTTTGATTAGAGGAGCATCTCCTGTGTAAACGCGGCCCCTAAAGAGATCATTCTGTTGTGTAAACAATTAATTTTAAAGCTGGGTTTGACGGCAAACGGGTGTGGTATATGGCACTGTATATGGCACCTCCCTGAAGTTCCCCGAATATCCTGTGCCAAACTAAGACTCCGAGGTATACAACAAACGTGACACAGAGGGGTTTCTACAATGCCAGATCTCTCGTTTCAAGGTATGGATTACGAACATGATATTTAATCCAGCCACTTGTTATGAGGCTGTAATTGCTTAATTTCGCAGTCACCATATTAAGCATGTACATTAAATACTATAAACACAATCACAGAGAGGGTTGGATTGAGGCTGGAGAGATCCAAGTGGTAAATGATGCAATCAATAGTGTGTTTACATTGGGTTGATTATCTATCTTTACACTACCGCCACAATTCTATAGGTACACCACCACAACTTAGCAGCGTTTGGCACCAGCAGCTTATGGCTTACGTCATTAAGTGCACCTAGTTGTGTTAATTAATGTGACGCGTAGAGCCAAATTACCGACATTGATGGGTGGTGCAATACTTGGGGTCACTTTGAGCAACTTTTTCTTGGCCTCATCAGATGACGTCTGTTTGTACCAGGCATCTTCGTGTATACCCTCCCTGCTAACGTTTACTCTCATATTTCTTTAATGCTTAGCCTCAATTTGCACGACTTCACCACGAATCAGTGCTGGGAACAATTAATTAACCTCGCGTTTCGTGGCCGCATAAAAATGCCCACAAAATGGTAAATAGAAGCATTTTGTGATGTCATTCGCCCACAGAATTGGGGACTTTACGTGCTTCTTTCCCGGAATCTCGAGGTTATGAGAGGAAAAGTCACGTATTTCATTACCACGCGACTTAGTTGTGTAAAAACCTGTCCAAACAGTCGTAAATAGAAGCATTTTGCAGTTGCATTCGCCCACGAGTGTGGGTAATTAATTTACTTGTTTCTTTCCCGGAATATCGAGGGGGTAAGTTGAACTGCACTTTTAGTTAGTGCTCTCTTTGCCAAGTTATGGAAACGCTAGCCTGCGGCCTCATCAAAAGACGACATTATTTGTGATGCTGATCACACACAGGCTGTAATTCCAGGAACTCTGAGACTGTAAGTAGAAATATCGAATAACGTATTTCGGTTAGTGTCGGCTGGGTTTGCCAAGATGTAACCAGGTAAACAAGCCAGTGGACCATTTATCTTGTGTATGTATGTGTGATCTGATTAGCATAAGGGTGCTCAGGATGCACAGGATGCACGTAGGGGCTCACGGTTGGCACGGCGATGCAATAGTGGAACGGAAGGAATGCTTTAAATCTTTGTCGCGATGCAACACTGATTGGTTAGCTAATATAATTAGTATCAGCTATCAGGACGTTATTGGTTGAATTTTTGCTTGGGTTAGAACAATCTAAGTAGCAAATCAGAACCTTTTGTTCTTTAATCAGCTCTTGAAAGTCGATACTGCTCAAGTCCGCTTGATTGGAAAGGTACGAAATGCATGGAATCCCAGGTCCCTTCTGAGGGAGAAAGACATGTATTGTATCACATGGTCTAATACCTTTATACAGTAGGGAGGGAGAAAGACATGTATTGTATCACATGGTCTAATACAGTAGGGAGGGAGAAAGACATCACATGGTCTAATACCTTTATACAGTAGGGAGGGAGAAAGACATGTATTGTATCACATGGTCTAATACAGTAGGGAGGGAGAAAGACATGTATTGTATCACATGGTCTAATACAGTAGGGAGGGAGAAAGACATGTATTGTATCACATGGTCTAATACCTTTATACAGTAGGGAGGGAGAAAGCTCGTGGAAAGTATATTTATAGCATACTAGCCACGGAGAATAGAAAAGAAAGAAAACCAGAAGTCACCCTCCACCCCCCATCCTCCACCCAAGTACATACACAGACACAAACAACACAGTTACACACAACAAGGTAGGACACCAGGTGCCCAGCCTTGAGAACTGGGGCGGTGGGTTAAAGAGTCTTTTATGGCATGCCAACTGTACGTGATAGGAATACCTTTGGGACATGCACTGTGGTGATAGATGTCGGTTTGTGAAAGAGATGCCCCTGGGGGTTCAGCCAAAACAGACTGAGCAGATTATATATATAATTTCTACCAGATGCTTTGCCATAGTAGAACATTGCAAATCTCAAAACCTTCTGTTCTCTTGAAAGTGGATACTGCTCATGTCTGCTAGGCATGAAATGCCAAGAATCCTTCACCTGTCTGTGTGAAGGGAACTTAAAGGACCTCTATCACTGGTGTACATTAATAGTCTGTCTGAGTGAGAGGTGCCCTTGGGGCAGTGGGTGATTATCTGACCAGTGAGCCGGAACTAAGCAAGGGGATGGCCTGCTGCTGGCATGTCTAACGTGTATACCTCTGCCAGACACCCCTTCCCACTCTCTCGCTCTCTCACGATGAATGCTAATGTGGAAAGTCCCACTCAGTGCTAATGCGGAAAGGCTCAAACGAGGGTTGATTTGTGTGACGATTTGTGTGACGTAACCGCCACACTGGACATGTATCTATAATATTAACAAACCAGTCATGCTGCGGTAGGGCTACACTTAATGTTACTTTGAGGCAATGCGGTGCTTCGGATGTTTTGTCTGTCAGAGGCGGTGAATTATCCCTTGGGGCATAAAGCTGCTAGCCATTATTCTGGGCTTTGTTGCACAAAGACTTTGCTGTTTAACTGACCGTACAACGCCCGTTGTATCTGTTGGAGTCAGGTTGGCTGGCCTGTAATGGGACACAGGGGAAATTTGTACTAGACCGATATCACCGTGTCGTCTAGTAGCGAGCCCTGCCTTGTTATTCCTTTTCCAGTGAGTGACACTTGTAACTGAACACGTGTTTCGGTGTACTTTCTACACACAAACGGTACACATTTTACAATTTCGCCAGTTTCCCAAAAATGCAAGCTTGCCAAGCAACCACCGTGTATAATTTCCTGGGGGGAGTTTACGTCCAAGAATAATTATCTGTAAATCTTTTGCATTTGGTCGCTGCATGCACATGAGGTTCAGATCGTGCTATAAATACCATCAACGACTTTCTAAAAATAGACTACCCAACTGTTTACATTGATCTGCTCTACATGAAATATTAACAGCTTTTGGGCTACGAAAAACTATGCTGAGGATTTGACCTGTAGGCAGCCAAATTCACCAGTGGTATGCGTGGGGTGTAGAATGTGTAGTAGAACGGTGCATTTTTGATTCAATTTACACGTATCCCCATTGCAAACCACATAGCTGCTCTGCTCACGTGATTTTTATTTGCGCTCTACAAGGCATTCCTCTCGGGCACTAAAACACCTGTTGTTGACACATTACCGCAATTTGCTCGAAGCTTTTGTTCAATTACATTCCATTTATGTCAGTATTACGGTCAGATTTACGCCCATTTATGTCAGTATAACCATCAGACAGCGCCCGGTGAAGTGCACGTAACTGATAGCCTACATTTTTCCCCGCCATAGAAGTGGCCAATAAGGTTTCCTCATTTGTTGGACGTTTAGAACACGGGGGGGCAATATTGGGATATATACATAACTTGAATTCCACAAGTATTTTACTATCTAAATCGTTCATAAATTTCTTCCTCTCCCCTTCTCTCTCTGTCTGTCTTTGTTTCTGGCCAACCTACCCACAGCCACATATTATGGAGCTTACCAAAGAATAAAGCCATCGTCCTCAGATTCAGGACTAAACGTAGCACTAGACTTCAAGACTTCTTCTTCTCCAAATGGGCTTCTTTTGGCCGTTCGACTCGACAGAGACGGCAGTAATGCTGGGTACTTAGGGATAGGGTTCGTGGATAGACACCTAGTCGTACTTCTGTCAGGCAACACCGACAGTGTTGATAACACAACCACTGAGTTTGCCCTGCAGAGAGATGCGTGGTATGCCCTCTCTCTACGCATTATAGAGACACACATCACAGTGAGTTTTAGAAACGGGAGTGACTTTTTGTTTTCTTCGTCTCTTGCTCTTTCTTCGCCATTCAGTGTCCGAGACGTGTTTCTGGGCGGAGCAAACAGCTTCTTTTCGCGTGCATTCGCAACGTTGGAGATTACCGAGTATTTTGTCGGTTGTCTAGCAAACTTTAGTGTCAATCAAAGAGACATAGATTTCGCCCCAAAATTGGAAGGTTATGGAATGCAGTACGGGTGCTGTCAAAATCCAGAACCAATTGCGTGGAGCTTTGTGCCTGGGCAGCATAATGCGCTTGTCTTCGAGTCTCGCTTGTCTCATTCACGTTTCCAAACCAATAAACTCGTTTTTTCGTACTTCATCGAACCTGAGCACGATGGAATGATAGTCTATTCACACGACGAGGATATAAACTTTGCTGTTGCAGTCGAACTTCTCAACGGATCGATACTCATCCACATGTCAAATGAGGTCGACATTTTGAACCCTTACTTTCTAGCTTGTGATGGGACCATTGTCAATGGCTGGAGACACGAGGTGGAGATCTCCATGGGGCAAGACCGCCTTGAGTGTGTCGTTGATGGAAGCAAGACGCACCTGAACGTAACCCTGACTCGCTTCCCGGCAGACACTCTCGAGTATCATATCGGCAGTGGAAACGTCTCCACATCGTCCACCATTCTGCACATTTTCCAGTTGCACCTCCGTACCATTGCGACCGACGGGATGTTCCCCTCGTTCGGCGGGTTGCTGCAAAAGTTCCAGTTGAACGGACTCGAAGTCTCACCCTCAGTCCTACCACCCAATCCTCCTCTTCTCTCCACGGCGTGTCCCCAGATGGTTGACCTTCCACCTACCTGTCAGCAATTCCAAGAATTTTCATTGGCACAGTTGGCTCAAGTGTCAGTTGTCCCTTCGACTATTCGTCTGGATGAGAATGGCACCGTGCTTCTAAGAGACAGTGACCTATCTCTGTATGTGCCTGAGAGCATGGATAGACCAGGAGCCCAAGAAGAGGTCAGGCGTTCAATGAGGTTCAGTGTGGATTCCTACCCAATCCACGGAGTGCTGGTAAACACATCCAGTCCGGACCAACAGATTGTGCAGTTCAGCTATTCTCACTTGCGGAGTAATTCAGTTGCCTATTACCACAATGGTGAAGAGGAGTCCGCTGACTCTATTAGTCTTGTGGTCACCTCCATTTGCTCACCTGTGATCAAAATGAGCATCACTGTACTTTTCTCCGTTCGATTGACAAACGATCCTCCAGTGGTAAAGCAGCTGGGCACGTTAGCTATTGCTGTGGGAACCCGCATGGTTATCTCGCCCAATGTCATCTCCGTGGAGGATGAAGAGTCGCCAAGCCTCACAAGCATTTGGTTCCGTGTTAAGAGCATTCTGGTTGACATGTGTGGCACATGCAGCCCTGCAGGTCGCGTGGAGAGGACCACCTCTCCTGGCCTTAACTCCACCCACTTCAATCAGATGGAGATAAATAACGGAAATCTGTGGTTTCAACATTTCAGGCAGTTTGGAACAGAACCAATCACCATTAGCCTGTCAGTGTCTGACAGTGTGGGTGTATCGGTAGGGATTGAGATTCCTGTGGTGCCGTACATTGGCAATGTGACTCTGGTTCGAAATGAACCTCTCTACATAGTTGAGGGAAGGTGTGCCTACATCACTGCAGAGCACCTCAGAGCTGACACCAACTTCAACGATCAGAACCCGATTCTCCAGTACAGCATTATCAGTGCACCGGGACACGGGCGTCTGGATGTTTTGGATCAGGGGCACTGGCGTCCAGCTCTCGAAGGAAACGTTGTCTTTGAAGGTTTCACCCAAGAGGACGTTAACTTGAACCGTGTTCGTTACTGCCACAGCAACAACTCGCGGGAAACTGACTCGTTTCCGTTTCAGCTGCACAGCACTCTTCTACCTGGAGGAAGCGGCACCTTCACCATCCATGTATCTGCCTATGCCGACTTGCTTAAGCCTAACATTTCCTTGACAACCACGCCAGTTTCTCTCATAGAGGGGGGCCAAGTTTTGTTTTCCGAGAGCACACTCGCTGTCTCTCTGGTTCAAAGTGTTAGTCCACCCTGGTCTCAAGAGATGCTGCAGATTGATAGTTTGGGCATATTTTTTCACCTCGAACGAGCCCTCCCCTCGTTTGGAAAGATTTACATCAACGGTGAAAACCTGATGGGAACTGGTTTCAGTCTTGCTCAACTCGCTCAAGGTGTGGTGGAGTACCGCCACGATAACTCTGAAAATCACCGAGTCCTTTTGCAACTCAGTGTTGAAGCAGTGAATGCAGAGAATCTTCCGATCCAATATCCTAATCTTCCACCACTCACCAATCTCTCTGTCATCATTACACCCGTCAATGACCACGACCCCATGGTCGCAACGTCTAATATTACGGTGGCCGAGGGTGGTTTTGTCACTTTAACCCCTCGTATCCTGAATATCGTAGACGAGGACCGTCCTCCGGAGAACATCAGTGTTTCAGTACTCAACCAAGACTTGGAGCACGGCTTCTTTGCACTCAGTGATACGGCGACTCCAATCACACAGTTTACTGCCAGTCAAATACAGGAAGAAACTGTTTATTTTCACCATATGCTCAATGCATCTCTCCCACCAACTCACATTGTTACAATCTTAGTTTCAGATGGAATGAGATCTTCTCGAAAGGTAAGGAGAAAACAATTTCGTGTGCATTCTCTGGTTTTATCACTTATTTTCTCCTTCTCTGCAGGAAATAGAAATTAATGTCCAGTCGCTGGAAATAGACACAAGTGGGGTACCGGTGGAAGCCTGCATTGCGGAGTTGGATGCAATTTCCGATTCGCTGACCACTCAGGTAATGCAAGGTCCCTTCATTTCAATAGAGATTCGTGACGTGCATGGAACAGATATCAACCGTCTTCAGAATATGGTGCTCAGAGTGGCACAACAACCTGTACACGGAGACTTGTTGCTGAGCGGTACAAGTCTCAGTGTATTCACTCTCAACGATCTCGGTAATCAGCTGGTGACATATCGTTTTAGAAACCGCACGAATCACGTTTATACCGATAGTGTCACTATTGAAGTACGCTATGGACATAGTCAACCAGCTTTCATGAGTCTAAACATTTGCATTAATCCCGTTCCTGCACCAAATCTGAGCAACGTGCTCTTAAGATCTATCAACCTGACGAACTCGTCTCCCCGGGTCCTCATAGACAACAGTACAGTTCAGGCTGTTGATACTCGTGGGGAGGGAGGAGAAGCAATAGTCTACTCCATCACCCACCCTCCAAGGTGGGGAAAGGTTGTGGATGAAAACGACACAAATCTGACAAACTTTACACAAGCAGACGTTGATCAGAGTCTGGTCTCCTATTTTCACGCTAACCAGTCAAGCTCCACGCTCAGGGACTACTTCATCTTTCAACTGTGCACCGCGTACGTCTGTGATGGCAAGTTCAACATCACGGTCGCCTTTTCCGTGACAAGTCTCACTGTCTTTAACAGACCCTTGAATGTAACTGAGAATGAAATGGTCACTATCGGCAGGAACAACCTGGACGCAATAGCCCCCGAGGGTGGAGTCACATTTCACATTCGCAGGGCGCCAACAAAGGGGTATCTAATCCTCGATAATGGTGGAATACAGTATCCCAACCCTCCCTTCTTTGATGTGCAGCATATTGCCAGTGGATCAGTGTTGTATCAGCACGATGGATCAGAGAGTATAAAGGATAGTTTTGCTTTCACTGTGACTACATCCCACTCTGATGAGCGAGTGTTGGACACGTTTCGAATCACGATCATTCCAGTGAATGACAACCCTCCCTTGCTCTCACGTAAGGTGTTCAGCATGATCGCAAGGACCACCAGGAACATAACAACCGAAGATCTCCGGGCCTATGATGATGACAGTGACATACGGTCTGAATTGCTTCGCTACGTGGTGACAGTAGAACCGTTCTATGGTTGTATCCACTACCGCAACAGCAGTGAAAAACTTGAACAGTGGTCGGAGATGGACGTCAGAAGCAATAGACTTGCCTATACGCACACTGCCCTGGATCGCGTCGATTACGGTGCCACTGATCTTATTGGTGTGGATCTCTTTGACCAGGACAGAAAAGAGACCTACATAATACGGATTAACATATACGAAATCGAGTTAAGAGTCTCTGACAATGACATTACCGTCTCTGAAGGCGGAGACGGGGTCATCGATGAAATGTACCTCTCTGCAGAAGCAGTGGGAGATGAGAGTGTAACAGACACTGACCTCAAGTTTCACCTCACCACTCCTCCAAGAAACGGCAAAATTTTACTGAACGGGAATCCCGTGACCAACTTACCCAGGCAGACCTGTCTGGTCCCGGTCTAGTCTACCGTCACAACCATTCCAATACTATCTCGGATAGCTTTGATTATACAGTCTCGATAACTCAGCACAGAGCAGTCAAAAGTGGTACTTTCACAATTACAGTTAAACCCGTGGATGATGACCCTCCAACACTCGTTTTTCTACGTCAACCTCTGTTTGTTGTTGAGGGCAGCGAGATTGGGATTGTCACGGAGCATCTACAGGTTTTCGATTTTGATACAAACATGCAACTCCCTACGCAGATAAACCGGATTGAATTCCAGATCATCGCCCAGCCGAACCACGGAGACGTCCTGCGTAGTCAGGGTGTAACCAGCAGTGGATTCAAAAAGACGGAAGTATTCACCCTCTACGAGGTAATCCATCACTCGGTCAAATACATAAGCCACCCTGTGGACGAACGAAGCGAGATTGTACACTGGTCCGACTCGTTTCTTGTCAACCTCACCGACGGTAAAAACACGCAAGAGACCCCTTACAACTTTACCTTTGTGATTCTACCAAATATCGTGTCGATCAGGGCGAGGTCGTTTCAAGTTGCCGAGGGAGAAGATGTTATTCTTCCAGCAGGCACTATAGAGGTTCTTCATCCTTACCTGAACACCCAGCTCGGTTTCATCGTCATCAATGAGCAACCAAGTAATGGAACCTTTGTAAATGTCGCATCCGGCGAAGAGAACATCTCTAATTTCACTACAGCTGACCTGAAAGCTGGGCATATAGAGTACCACCACAATGATGCCGAGAAGGAGAAGGACAGAGTAAAGTTAACATATGAAGCCCATCAACATGTCTATCCCGAAAACCAAACTCAACCGGGAAGTTTTCCCGAGGGTTTTATGCGCACCAGTGACGTGGTGACACTGGATATCAACATAATCACCAAAAATGACCGTGGGCCAGAAATACGCTCAGGGAATGAAAGCACGCTCGTGATGTGGGCGGAGGACTGCGCCTTTCTCTCAGTGCAACATCTCGATGTAGTGGATCTCGACACTCCAAACAGCAAGCTGATTTACACTTTCAATTTCACCTCGATCGACGCGTACATTTCCCACATTAACGAATCCAAGAGCATTGAGGTCCACACCTTCACACAGGAAGACGTGGTGAACAGCCTCATAAAGCTATTCCATCAGAGTGGCGAGACAGGGGTAATGCATTATACGGTGACAGATGGCGATTTCTCGGCCTCTGGAAAGCTCCTCATTGAAACACACCGACTTGAAATTGTGGTGCTACGGAACAATCCTTTGATAGTCCCATTCATTGGAATGGTAGCCATAACATCTAATGAGCTGGAAGTGGGCACTAGTGATGTAAATACAAGCATATCACGGTGCTTTTTCAATGAAGCGGTCGAGTATCAGTTTGAGGCGGACTATGGCATCATTGTCGTTAACGGAACGACTAATGCCACATCTTTCACTGATGATGATGTCAAAAGGGGGCGTGTGTACTATCAACACACAAAGCCGGAAATTTGGGAGTCACTCGAGACATTGAAACTGAAGGCTAAGGCAATGCTCACCCACGTGAAAGAGTTTGAATTGGAAATAACGATTGATCTCCCGTCCGAACCCAACAGCCCACTAGCCGTGCACAAATCTCTGGCTGTGATAGAGGGGGGTCGTGCATGCCTCAACGAAAGCATCCTTGATGCCAGAAACATCCGCTACAATGCTACATACGATACTGTCAACCACACACTCACCTCCTGGTTCGTTTTCTATTACTCCGAAGACTCACACGGAGAAATTTTGCTGGAGGGTAGACGGCCGCCAGGGACCCCACCGAGGGTATCCCAAGATCAGATTGCTAACGGTTCAGTGTGCTACCAGAACAATGGAGACGAGAACACCAGGGATCTGCTGAAATTTTCAGTCCTCATCGAAGACAACGATAGTGGTCTTTGGGGATACAGGCTTAACCTCATCCTTAACGTCTCAGTGACATTGATCAACGACGAGGCCCCGATTGTAGTTAGCTCCACTCTAATGATGCCGGTTGTGGAAGGATTTTCGGTGCCTGTTACAAATGATTCCCTTTCATTGGTTGACGAGGACAACCCTGCCTCAGATCTTGTCTTTACCGTCGTCGATCTACCTCCAGGGGGACACCTGTTACTAGACGGAGATCACATGCTCCAAAAACAGAGCACCTTCACCCAGGTAATGGTTAATGAAGGAAGGTTGAGATTTGGAGCGCAGGATATCGGCGAGTGGACCGCACTCCTCTCGTTCACAGATGGAACTTTCACTAACGTTACCAATTTTACTGTACTCATCAAAGAGCACTTTGTCAAAGTGGTGGGGACCAATGTGTTGAGATATTCTCAGAATGAAAACGGAGCCCACCTGACATCGAAGCATATTGTGACGGAAACAAATGGACAATCAAATGAAACGGTCTACTTTCTCGTCGAAGCTCCCGTAAACGGAGACCTGAAGGGGCTAAGAGAGGGTCAGTTCTTCACTCAGAGTGACCTGCTGGATGAGAAAGTGTCGTACGTCCCAACAAATTTCAGTGCTCATTCCGATTCATTCAAAATGAATGTGAGAAACCGTGAGGCTGAAAACAGCACCGTCGCGATAGACGTCAGGGTGGACGTATGGGGACAGGTGAAGCAGAATATCGAACTGAACTTTGATTCCATGGCCGAAGGCGACTTGTCCCTACCTCTCCCCAAGAATATCCTTCAGTTGACAGACCTGCAGTTCTTCATTCAACGGCCTCCCGTCATTCACGTCATGCAGCAGCCCAAGCTGGGATTTCTCGAGGTGAAAGTTTCCACGACTTCTCGAAAACGGCGGGCAACGTCACCCACACCCTCCGATAAGTTCTTCTACAATTTTCTCGACTACAACTGGGTGTACTACACGTGGAACGCCTCAAATGTGACACTAGAGAATCCCAGCGAAGAAGGTGTGCATGATTCTTTCTCTATTCTTGTGGAGGGATACGAAGGTATTCAACCGGGGGAAGCAAATATTACCCTCTACATTAAGAATCCACCAGTGCCTGTAGATTACCCACTGCCACCCACGGATGGGCAACCGTCACCATCAGATTCTCCTACTGTCTACACGGCCTTTGTGGAAGACGGCAACGGCGGGTTCCCGATCTATGCCCTCGTTCCCATCGTGGGAGTGTTTGTCATTCTTCTCCTGATCATTTCGGTTGTGATTGTCTTCTGCGTAACGCAGCAGGGCCGAATTCGCAAGCGTTTGCAGCCGAAATTAATGCCCCGGCACCAGCCACTGACAAGGCCCCAAATGAACAGTTTTCCTATGCAGCCGTCGTCCAATATCTACAGTGTAGAGTCCTCTACAGCCACACACAGAGAGGCAATGACAAGTTTCAATGGAATGACAGAGTACCGAGAGTCCCACTCCCCCATATCACACCACAGTCCGCTCGCTCGCTACAGTCCTCTCGTGTCGCACCCACCCAGTTCCGCCGTTTTTCCATCAGAGAGGTACCATCACCACCGGCACATGATTCCTAGACCGCGCAGCCGGCGAAGCAACGTCTCTGTGAGCTACTCCCACCGGCCCCTGTCGGAAGTCACGCTGGAAGAACTTCCGAGAAGTCACCACCACACCTTCTCGCCCGCTATGATGGGTGTCCCCAATCCCCTCAGACCTACAACCAGGAGCTCGAGTGTGTACGAAGCCGGGGAAGAGGAGAGCGGGTACCTGTCCACACCAAACCCATCTATCGCTGCCGGCGACGAGCCAGTTCGACTAGTCCTCAGAAGACCTGCTGTAGAGGAGGTTTCACCACTCCCGCGAGATGTCAGTGGTAATCCCGAAGACGTCAGTGGTGATCCCGAAGACGTCAATGGTGATCCCGAAGACGTAGAAGAACGTGAAGATGAAAGTTGCGAGCAACAGCTACAAGACGAGACAGTCGGTGGAGCAGTGGATCATATTCAAGAGAGGGGAGCTTCTACTACTGATCTTGCTACTGACCACCAAGATAACAGCATCTCACGATCTACTACAACACCAGTTCCTCCAGACCAGGGGGAAACTCCCGCCCAAGGTGAGGAACTTGAATTCCCTGATGACGAGGAGAACATTGGACACCATTCAAACGATGCTCGTGCGGTCGGCACACCCCCGGCAGACCCAAATCTTCCCCTACTTCCCGAGAGTCGACCAGTCAGTTCGGCAGCTTCTGTGACTGACGGCAGAAACAGCCACGCCCCCTCTCCTTCAGACCTTCAAACTCTCTTCAGAACCCACAACCCCATTCTCAAACGCACCGAATATTGGGTATGACCACTGCATTATACATACAGATTTAGTTTATACAGAGTCAGCCGTTCATTCAGATGGTGTACTTTTCTTTGTCATTTCTTTGTCATTTCCTCCATGTCGCTAAAAAGATCTTAATTTTTATCAGTATCAATTCAAATGGTTGATGTTTGTATCAAAAAATTTATGTATTATGCGAAATCATAACCATTATTATCCCCTAGTAAGTATGGTGACACAGTTGTGATGCGATAGTAATAAAAAGACCCGTAAGACTGGAAACAGTGACTGATGTGAGGACATCAGGCATGTTACCAATCCCTGTATAACTACCTCTTGAGGTGACTGTAAAAAATACCAACGAAATTGATGCGACATAGAAACAGTTTGTCAGGACTACAGTCTGAGTTGCGTCTGCCACAATATTATAAACTGCCCCCATCAAAATCGACCACAGAGTTTGGAGAACGAACCAGTGAACTTTCACTGGAGATTCACTTACTTCCCTCCAAAGGAGCCGCCGGGTGCTCCATGAAAGGAGCAGGAGGAGTCCGAAATATCCACTCTGAAAGATATTGTGTGACCACAATCTGTGGAGGTGATCATGGACCAATGGGTACAAAGGGTCTTCGGATGTCAGTTGGATCTGGACGACAACTGCGCTTAGATGCATACCGACCCCAGCAGTCCACGTGCTAGCGAGGACTAGGAACAGCACTCTCATTAGCCGGTGCCGCCAGCCTGGAACCACGCCATGTTTTGTGGTTTGGGGCTTGTTCTCGCTGTCGCCAGAAGACAATCTTTTTACACGATCTTGTAGATGCAATGACCGCTCGCAGCCGCCGTCGGCAGAACAGTTGGTAAGACTCAAAAGTGAGTCGGCACACAGGACCAGTAAAGCCCCCAGAGGCAGGGACAAAAGCTCGGAGAATGGGACGGAGAACACCGAAGGAACCCTGGCGTCTAGCAGTGGTAGGGATATCTGCACCAGCCACAGTACGTTGATAGACACCAACCAGCGAATTCCTGATCTGAACGCCATTATCCGCCGCCGTTGCGCCTTCTAGTATATGTCATACATATTATGATCACAATATAACTTGGAAACGCATCAATTATGCTGGGGAATGTTTTTCCTGGGTAGTGTGGCAATTCTGTCCCTAACTAGCAGACTAATTTTCCCTTGTGGGTAACTCTTCAGCTTCTGCAGTGCCTCTCTGTGTGTGAGGGACTCAAAAGAGTCGTTGTTCACTTCGATTATGACATCACCGGGAAAAATTTTGCCGCTCTTGTGAGCCACCCCCCCAGGGAAGACCTCTCTCACAATGATGGGCAAATTTTCGTCTGTGCCTCCCTTGAGATTCATTCCGAGTCCAGTGGGCCCCTTATGGAGCTCCACGATTTTTATCCCTTCAGTGGATTTTAGTTTCCGGGGCATTGTGGCTGGTTTTGACCTTTCTTCGTCATCTTGGCTCAGTGAGAGTCGTCGCGAAGGGCGCTTTAGGGTGTTTCCAGGAGCACGTATATTGGGAGGGGTGGGTGGGATTACTGGGGAGGGTGGTTCGTTGGAGTTTTCCCCAGAGCTCTGTCGGGACTGCAACTGTGACTGGAACGGTGAAGGTGCCTGGCTTCGCTGGCCAATCCGCTGCGCCACCTCCAGCTTCACGTATGCTCCACTCTCCTTGAGAATTTGAAGGGCCTCTTTGTTGGTGAGACCTGCGAGAGGCTTATCATTGACTGAAACCAGCCGATCCCCTCGTTTTATACGACCATCTTTGAAGACCAGTCCATCTGCGATAACTTTTTTAACCTGTATAAAATGTGCCAGTAATATCACCAACAATGGTGACAATAAACTCACATGCACTTCCTGCAGTCTGGGATTATCAACTCCACCCACAATACTCAGTCCCAGCTTGTGATTAGATTCACGAGAGAGCTCCACAATAATCACTTCTTCTGCAAGCTTGGTTGGAGGCTGCTCCACGTAATAGTTTGGTCCCTGTAGGGACCCAGAATGTTGGTACGGTACTGAGTCTCTTGCATCTGTGCTTTCGTGAAGGTTTTCAACACTAGCCCTCTTTGATCGAAGACCACCTGTAGTGAAGTGATATTTTGTAGCGGTTATAGCACATGAGTTTGCAAACCTGGCCTGGATATGTTCAAGCTCGCACTCAAGTTGGTGGTGCTGGCGTACCCTAGTGAGGTACTAGCACCTGAGCCTGTATCAACCGTCCACATGTCAGACTGGGAGGTGGAACGTCGGAACCGTGGAGGTTGGCTACTGTCGTGCTGCTGCTTCTGTGGTGCCGGTAGAGACTCTGTAAACTGTGTTTCTCTGTGTTTATCCTGAAGGCTTTTCTTCTCTTCTGCTTCTTCTGTTGTCTCTTCCTGCTTTAGTGTTGCATTTCGACTGCTCTCTCCCTTCTCTTTCCCCGCTTCTGATTTCGGAGCCAGGGGAGGTGATTGCTTGAGCGATTCCTTCCGTTGAGCAACCACTTCTACAATTTCTGGGGCCTTCTCAAGGACCTGTTTGGCCTGCCGTAGCGACATTCCAATGAGACACTCGCTCCCTACCATAACCAACTGGTCCCCCTTCATGAACTTCCCACAGCTGAAGGCTGGAGATCCAAAGGCAATGGATTGGATAAAGGTGTATTTCAGATGCGATTCGCTGCCTCCTTCGATTATGAGTCCAAGAGGTGCACTTCCAAATCGCTGTAGCTGTACATACGTAATACATTATTGCACAGAGTCCTGTGTTAACTCATGATGCTCTCGCTTACCTGAGCTTTGACGATGCCAGGTTCATCAATGACTTCTGGAAGAGGGGAGGCAGGGGGCGGTGGAGGGGAAGAGAGGATGGGCTGTTGTGGTGGAATGGAGCTACTCAACTGACTCCCACCCCTGGTGCCACTGCCTGTCACATCTTTTGGTGGGGCCATGGCTACAAATCTGGCAACACCCCTTGGCAGAGCTTTGATAATGCTCTCGGCGGTGTCAACATCAACACCAATAAGCGACTGATCATTGATTGAAAGAAGATGGTCACCCACCCTAAAGAAAATATAATTCATTTATCGTTGCTTATGCAATAATCTCCTAACATACCTTATGTTTCCATCCTTTTTTATGGACTTCGAGACGTCAGTGACTGTACTACAATCATTCCTACATTCCCCATCGCAATACTCAGTCCCAGCCCAAAGATACCCTTTGTAATCTCAATTTCAAATGGTCCGTGTTCCAGCCTCGCTCCCTTTGGAACTGGACCCAGAGATTTCGGTCGCTCAATGTCCCTTCTTTCAAACAGGCTGTCTTCTTGTTGGTAGGTATTGGTTTCTAGTGGAGTGTGCTCCCCTGTGGAAATTTGTTGTTGTGTCACGGGGGGAGGGGGTGATGCAGGGGGAGGGGGAGGGGGAGGGGTGTGGGTACCATCACTGTCGCTGTGCTCAGACACCCGTGCAGCTGGTAGTGTGAGAGGTGGGGGAGAAGGAGGAGGAGAGGGAGGTGGGGGTTCGGCCAACGGCTCGGGAGACATGGAGAGGGAGAGTGGAACTGGAGATGGAGAGAGTGTAGTTGGTGAAGGGAGGGGGTTGAGAGGTGTGCTAAAACTGTGCGATGGTGAAGTGGGCGGAGGAGATGGGCTGGAAAGGATCTCTCCTGCTGGCCCGATATTGGGAGAGAGAACCACCGCACTCCATCGCTTTGGTGTTCCAGGTGACGGCTGCCCTTGCGACAGTATGTGGTCTGCTATTGATGCACTGTAGCGTGCAATCTGAGGTGAGCCCCTGGCACCTTTTGATCCGTCACGGGAGATAAGTCTATCGAAACTGCTTCTTTTCGACCACCAGTCTTCCGTGTCTTCATCAGAGAGGATACTCGAGCGACTCCCGATGGAGTAGACGGATGATGTCGCATCCATTTCGAAAATCGGGTCGCGCCAGATTTCCAACTGAATGTCCTTTGGTGCTTCGCTGATGGTTTGCAGTACTTCTGAATGGGAGAGATTTCGCAGGCTTTTGCCGTTGATTGACACAAGTCGATCTCCTGGCTTGACTCTCTTGTCTCGTGCGGCCACTCCACCAGCCATGATTCTGCGCACCATGTATATGCCCCTGGTCTTCCCAACACTGTGAACTATCGTCACTCCCAAGCCACTCTTGGCCCTTTTCTTCATACGGAGGGTAAGCTTCTGGAAGCCAAGCGGAACCTCTCCCTCCTCCTCTCCTTCATCTTTCTCTTTCATTTCCCTCTCATCGTCCACTTTGGCATTCTTTTGAAGGGGTCGTGAGGTAATAGCATCATCGCTTCCACTTTCTTCCTGACTTGTGTTTCCAACTGACTGCGGTTGTAGCACGAAACTGGGCACGACAATGTCAGTAAGTTGACCTCTAATATCGATATCGGCAGAATCATCCCTGCCAGTAGAAGAAACAACTTGTTTCACAACCTTCTTTCCCCTCGCTCTGGGAACCAGTGGCTCCCTTTGTTCGCCACTGTCAGACTCACTGGAACCCCACTCCTCTGTTGAAATGGTGTGTCGAATCACACCTTTCGGTTGTGAACTGCAATACTGTTTTGTTTGACGTTGAGCCTCACCACCCACACCTACAGGAGCCCCTGAAAAATCATCCTGTTTTTTCTCTGCTTCTGTTCCATTGCTAGTTTGACTCAGGGTCAGAGTATCATCTGGTCCCTCGGAGACGTGTGCGGGAAGGGGAGAGAGAGGAGGGAGTGGAGGCTCAGTGCCCACACCAGGTGGTAGTGAAGGCGGGGGTGTTGGTGGAGGTGCTTCATGCTCTGTGTCACTCTCACTACTTCCCATTGGTGGGGGCTGGGGTGGAGGACCCAAAGGAGGAGGACCAAGGTCCTAGAGAAACAAAAACGTCCAAAGTGAAACAAAATCGCAACTGGCCCTGAAGAGTTTCTCATGCCTACAGTAGCATCAATGCTACCTCATCTTTCCCTGTTGCTTCTTTTCTTTGGCCCGCTTCTGCATCACTTAGGGAAGTTTCCATCTCTGTAGAGCTACTCCCAGTCAAAGAACTAGCCCTGTAGAGGCAGGTGAAAAGAAGCCAGCTTCAACACACTGGCTAATGTATATTGACTCTTACTTGGATGATGGTCTGGTAAGCTTCCTGCAGACTCGTAGTACAACCTTACCAGCCTTCAATCCCTGTCCAAGGAAAGCCATCGTGGAGAGAGAGTGTGTGTTAGACAGCTTTTGTCACAAATATACGTTCAGGGGCATGATGAATGTAAAGAGGTCTTTACTAAAGCTTCCACAGAGAATAGGACTAAATACAATCACGATTCCTCAGCTAACAGTATAATTATACTAAACCATGAGTATTCAATGTAAGGACGGAGGCTACAACACTAAGTTCGCAAAACACCTGAGGTACACTCCTACTGATAGCATGTAATCGTCTATTTAGGAAACATTTATGGAACTCCAACAATGCATGCAAGGTTACGCCCTAACAACTACAGCTTACTCTAATTACACTGGCCGACTGCTTGTGTGTGAGTCCAGTGAGGCTCCTCCCATTAGCCTCCAGCAACTGGTCACCCACTCTCAGTGAGCCTTCTCTACCAGCCACACGACTCGGGTCTACGGCTTTCACAAATATCCCTGAAATTCGGAAACAGTTTTATTTTGGAATCTTTCTATTCCGTGGTCCCTAACCGTCAACATCACCGTTTCCTCTGCACACAGTGAACCCAAGGCTCCCCCCTTCCCTCTTTTCCAGGACTATGTCCATTTCTTCTGTCTCCATTGACATTTCGTCCACAACTTCCACTTTTTCAGCATGATCTACAAAGTGATAATAGCAACTAATACACAGTACACAGTATCTACCTACCAGCTCCATGACTTAGTCTCTGTGATTTTGTTGCGGGCAGTTCAGAACTAAAAGACAAAAACTCTGTTTCTTTCACATCTTCTCGTGACGACAGCTTGCGTTTGGGAACCTGCCCCAGTCCCTTCATCTCCAAACTTTCTACCCTTGGGGGTAAGCCCCCCAAAAATGTCCCCAATTTGTGGGGACTAGGGTTGAATTCCGGTGACACAAACTCCAGTCCACCCTCTGTGAATCCAGTACTGAGAGGAGACATGGATTGCGGGGAACTGGAGGAAAAAACGGGTGGGGGTCGAAACGAAGAATTCCTGGCCCACTCTGGAATTGACGCCATTGAACTGGTGATGCTCTGGTCTTCCGACACCTGCGGATCGAAAGGGAAAAAACAACATCTGCACCTCTGTTCTCCATTTCCCAGCCCGTCTCACTCACTTCAGTGGCAACCACCAGTTGAACCAACTGCTGAGTTGTCTTTAGTACACCGACTGCCTCAGAGTGTGTGAGACCCACCAGGCTCTTGCCGTCCACCATCAGAATCTCATTTCCTGGCTTCAGTCGACCATCACTGAAGGAGTATTGGACAAACTTGTTGAAGTACACAAAGTATTAGTAGTACTATCTCACCTGTGGGCAGCTCCATGTTCATCAATGTCGCGAATAAAGATGCCAATGTTTCCGTGTTTTGAGCCCTTCCCTCCGATTATCCTGAGGCCGAGTCCGCAAGCCCCTTTCATTATGTGCATCTTACGAACTTTCCTCCTCTGCAGTGCATGATAAGTCATAGACGTACAGTTCTTACGCATGTGACTGCACATACCTGAAATATTCTGCTTGATTGTGATGAGTTTCCTCTCGAGAGCTTCTCCTCTCTCCATGTTGATGAGGCTAAACTCATTCTCGATCCAGACACCCTCTCCTCCCCACCTCCAACTTGTTCATTTCTCGAGGAAGCTACTTCCTTCTCCATTTTTTCCTCTCTGGATGCTCCTGGCTTTGCGTCTGCCTTTGTTTGTAGCTCGTGTAGCACTATTCTCTCTGGATCCTTCCCTTTCCCTGGCTTTCGTCCCCATTTCTTTGATGCTGGAGCCTCGGGGTGGGACGGTGACTTATCAGTTGACACAGAGAGAGAGCTGAGAAGGTCTTCTCTCGAGACGGAGTGTTTCATGCCATCGACGAGGCCCAAAGGTACCGTTGATAGCTTGACAGTACCCCTGCGTTCAGCACTTTCCAGAAGCCACCTGATGAGGAGACAAGTGGACAAGGTGACTGGGTGTATAAGGTGGGAGGGGCTGGCTTCTGAGCCTAGCTAGCTAGCATCATGTATACCTTGCTCTCTCCAGGGACACGTGCGCCAACGGACGACCGTCCACTTCCACCAGCTGGTCTCCTCGGCGCAAAGAACCTTCTCTGTCCGCCGCGCTGCCCGGCTTCAACAGGCTCACGACGTACGGACTTACATCGCTGCTGTTGCCCCACTTGCTAACGCTCACGCAGTCAATCGACAGACCCAGCCTTTCCCCTGCGTCGCAGTGGAGTACCACGGACTGTACGGGCGTCTCGTGCGGAGGGCGGACATCTACAAAACCTTCCTTGGCTCTGGCACGGAGCAAAGGCTGGCTAGCTGGGAGGAGATCCGTCAGGTACGAATGAAGACTGGATATCGCCTCTGCATAGGCTGCCCGTTCCTCTTCTCCTTCGGCTTCCCTGTGAAACTCCCAGAGCAGGTCGAGCCCTCTATCTGCATCGCTGCGACCCAGCGGCATCTCTAGCCGTACTGCCGACGCTCGATTGAAGAAAAATCGACCACGCCAATCCGCGCTAGTTTTGAGCCCCGCCCCTGTTTTTTTTGCGGGTGTGTGTGTCTTGGCAACACCTTCGACTCTCGATCTCATGATGAATAAGAGAGCAGTCCTCCCCCTCTGACGAGGTAAAAATGGGTGGGGCTCGCGTAAATTGTTCGCCGCTGCGTGCAAAATGTCTGGGGGGAAGCAGGTTGTAATCTCGACCCTTACCCAGAGCAGATTGCAGGACGAGGAGACGCGCAGGGCCGAGCGAAACAGAGCTGTCTTCGAGGCATGGCTCGAGAAGAAACGAGAAGAGCGAAAGGTTATACTCGTACATGAAGCATATCAAGCATCTTCGCTAACAATTTTAGAAAGAACGCGCTTTGAAGATGGAGGCTCTTCGCAGAGAAGAAGAAGCGTGGGAGAGGGAGAGAATAAGAGGCATCGGACAAAAAGCGTTTGAAAGATGGTTGAAGGTACGTATGACAGAGAAGTCCTGAAGATGGGTGCTTATATACACCGATCAAAATCCTCCTCAGATGAAACAAGCTGAAGACAAACTGATGAAGAAGCAGCTCTCTAGGGAGAGGGAGTTGGAGCGGCTAAAGAGGGAAGAGGTGAGAGAGAGACTACACAGATCAGAGGTGGCCTTCAACACCTGGAAACACCTAAAGGATGCGGAATTTAAAACTGAGCGAGAGCTGGCAAGACACCAGCAAAGGTCCGTAACGACTCCCATGACAAGAGGTAGGGGAAACAAACTAGAGGAGAGAGGGGGGCACTATAATCAATCATGTAATGTTCATCTGTTCTCCCAGAGCCCACCCCGTCACTGCCTGGGTACTGCAGTGTGTGGTCGTGTGATGAAGACATGGCCCAGCACTTTGTGACGAGAGTGAGGCGCTCTAGATCGCTGGAGCTGTCCGACTATCGCACACAGTTCACTGAGAGTGACAAAACACACTTCCCATCTTCACACCCTCACAATCTCGCACCACCACCACCAACGCATACCCATGTTGTCTCTTGTAAAAATCATCAACTTTGACTATATAGTACATAAGTAGCATAAATAGTGGGAATTACAAATTTGGACCATAAATCTGGGGAAAAGTGCAAAATCAAGTGATGATCATAGCATGCATGTTTTCCCAGTCTTTTCCCTTGTTCTTTCCTTTATAGCTTTCCTCAGGTTCTTGAAGAAGGTGACTTGTATTGACGGTAGTGTGGCATCTATCAGTTTAGGAGGGATCTTTCCCTTCAGGTCCGTCTGGAATGCATAGACTAGCTTCGTAGAGTTGGGATCACTGCAGAGGGCGTGCATGTGTGCGTGTGTATATAGTAAAGTTGGAGTCAACAGTAATAATCATTGTGTGCCTACAGAGAGATATGGACAAATAAATCCCAATTGGGACGGAATGCATCTCATGAAGGCAGACTGGAATCCATAAAATGGTTATTCTGCTGCATATGAAGTCAACACCCACAAGTCTTAGTTTCAGTATGTATGCTGATATTGTAGTAGTTCTATTTACTCACCTGTCTAGTGGGAAGCACATCATGGTGCTGGGGTGGTTGAGGCCCCTCACGTAGCTAGGGTCCTCAGGGTATGGATATTCAATACCTGTGGCTGGAGCAGCAAGATGAAGGGGATTGATACTATACCAGCAGCCTGGAATCCTCGTTGGCCTACTTCCTACACACCTGAATGATGACCTTAGCTATGCAGCGTACTTCCCCTATTTCTACATTTATCTTTATCCTTATGGCATGTATAAGCTATCTATATCATCATTCAATAGTCTTTGATCTGATTACAACATCAGTTGTAAGAGAGGGATGACATCGCTGTAAGACTCACAGTATGATAAATGGAGACCCGTCTCAGTGTTCCTACTAATGGTAACCAGGTCCAGGTACTCCCTGGGAGAAATGAGACCCATAGCTGCTCCGTTGGAAAGAGTTCGCAGAATTGCTGTGCCCTAATAGTGGAGGTGTGGTCAGAGCATCCCATGACACATTATAATAGAGATTCACAAGCTGCCAACAAATAATAACATTCACATACCTCTTCCACTATAGTCACAATCTCACATGACTTGAAGAGAGGAAAAGTGAGAATAAATAACATAATATAGCTAATTTTTTACACAGACAGACCTTGACTTGCTTGTCCCAGTGCAATCTGAGTGCACCGGGCAGAATGTACTCGAAAGTAGTAGCCGGAGGTGCTCTGACAATTCCCACTGCCTTGAACCTGGGTAATATACAGCAGACCTTCAAGTTGGTTTCCTTGTATAACATTCACATAGTTTAGCTGCCACATTCTCCCATATCACGATATGTGACAAAAGATATCCTCTTGGGAGAGTTTTGGAGATACCCTCATTCATTGTCTTTCTTTCAATCTTGTTATGCAAACCCTCTCAGAGTTTTTATATGACGTGACCAAACTTTTTTTAGGACTATGAGGTAGTGAAATGGTGACTTACGATGTTTGTCATGGACTGACACCACACTAATTGGTTTGATTGCTACAAAGCTAGGAAGCCTAAGCAAGCAAAGGCATCTGAAAGCAGAGTTATGTTGATGTGATCTGAGTGACTGAATTCAATCAACTCACACTTTTGCAGGTGTGTCGGTGTTCGCGTTCTCATAGAAAGAAACCTCAACACCGCTCTGTGAATTGTAAGTGTGACAGAACACATTGCAGCGAGGATGCAACACACTGCCAAGTATTTAGCTACGCGACTCACTGACGACTTGATCACGGGCCACTGCTCTTGTGCGTAGCTCATAACCGTCTCCCTCGTTCTCTCCGTCACCTCTGTATAGTTCATGGCCCCCGCCATGCTGAAAAAAAGCTGCAAAAAGCGACGTCTCGCGATCGGGCAGCCGTCCGCGCGTGTGTGGTACGGCGTACGTGGGCGTCTGCAATTATTACGCGTGAGTGACACACCCACTAATGCAAGCATGAAGTGTGCCTAAGGTCTCTGGTTTCTCGCTGTGACTTGAATGTCGTATGGGTCGGAGGACTTCTTTTTCCAGACCACCTCTTGCAGAAATGCTAGTTTTTGCTGCCGGTTCTTCTTTTTCTTGTACTCAGCATGTAGAGAGCCCAGTCTAAGAGAGACAGACGCAAAAGAACATGTAGCTAGCTAAACTGCTCCTGAACCAAAAAAGTATTGTAATACCTTGTCATTTTTGACATGAGTAGCGTTGGTCTAAAGCTTGGGGTAAAACTAGAGCCTTCCTGGTTAGCTGTGTGCAGAGAAAGAGCTCATAACATTTGACTTCAACTTTTTTACAATTAGCAAAAAAATTCAAGTGGGACAACTTTACATACATGGAGCTGTTCTTTGCTGGAAAGGAATGAACGATGGTTGATGGAGTGGCAGAGGGACAAGCATACTGCAGAATGGTAAGAATCCAAAATCATCGTATGAACGACAAAATAACTGTTATTGTAGCTACTGTATATATTATTATATATATCAATGTCAAAAGCCACACACACACACACACAGAATAAAAACATCATAGACAACAGACCCATTTGCATCAGTGCGGCTCTCAGGGGGCTGGATTCGCGGGAACATCGAATGATGCAGAAAGTGGCCTGGTCTCCTTACATGATGGTGTAACTATTATGCAGAAATTATACCATACAGATTTTTGCACAAGGAAAACAAATCTTAGCTCCACCTGAAAAGATTCTCCATATCCAAACATCCCGTAGGTGAACACAAATTCTGCAGTGAGGACTGCAAACGACTCGCCTGACGTTTCCTTTAATTCCACCTCGCCCAAAAGGGGAGAATCCTAGTGTTTATGGTGTGTGTGTGTGTGTGTGTGTGCACGTACCACATGTGTCTGTTTGCATGCACACACCTTCATAATTTATTTAGGTGCAATGTTGCGTCTGTCTGCATAAGCCAAGATGTGCACAGATATTCCACGATTTCTAAGTGTAAGCATGGGCTTATGGCTCTCACGTGCATTATGGTGTGGATGTGAAGCAAAGCTTTGGCTAGAACTGTTGACATCTCCTGTTGCAGCAGAGGTGACCTTATCACCAACTCCACACTCAGCCAGTTCTCGGGAGACTCGCTCTCCTTGGACAACTGGATGATGACAAGACACATGTGGGAAGGCAAACAGACACATATATCATTGAAACTTTGAAACAGAAAAAGCAGTATATGAATAATACACAGGACTGAGCAAACAGTGGGTGGCTGTGGTAGTGCCTGGATTGGGATGTGTTTCGTGGCGCCACAATCGAGGCTGCCTTCACGGTCCGAGCTGGAGAACGAGAAGTGTTTTGTGCGGTCTCGGAACCTCATTCTCAGCTGCAGCAAGTCCGCAATAGAGCCTTCAACTGTATACAACATGGGAATATAATTGACTGGTTTGTTGGCGGCATAGTGGTTGCAGTTACGTGTGTCGTCTCTAATGGTGTGCATTGCAGCAACGTGGGCAGCTAGGAGCCCTGTCTGCAAGAAAAAAGGTCAAGGATGGCACCTAAAATACAGAATGGTTTGCTTTTCCTGACCACATCTGCCGGTTCCTCCTCCTCCTGTCGCCCCTCGAAAGTTTTTATTAGCTCGTCCATTGTTATCGCATGCAGCTGCAATCAAAACTCACCTTTTAATGCTATGCGCATGCGCGCAAAATATTCCCAAAATCACGTGCTTGAGCTCGAAACATGAACACACAACAACAACAGGTTGGGACCCTCTTTCTGTCTTGGTCTTTCTTCAGTCAACAGACGTGCGCGAGCTGCGATGGTTGCATTGGTGAAGGCTACGCTTGTGTTCGCTCTGCTCGGTGCAGCTGTGAGCAGTGAAACCTTTCTGGAATGGACGAAGCAGGTCGGTCTGCGCGGCCTTTTTGCTGCGCTTGTTTGCCGACATAGCTATTATAGCTATTTCCCTATTGCTTCAGCACGGGAAGGAGTACTCGAGCAAGGCTGAGTATGAGGCACGCGCCGACATATTCGCCCGGAATCTCCAGTATATCGAGAGGTTCAACAGCGAAGATCACTCCTACGAGTGTAAAAGAATAGAAGATTGCTAGAAAAATAACTGTTTTACCATTATTGTTTTCCAGTGGCAGAGAACATATTTATGGATCTGACTTTCGAAGAATTTTCGGCCACCCGTCTGAGTACACCTCAGGTATATCTCTAGCAACTGGTGGTGATACGTAATGTCATTATTCACGAATATTCTTATTGTGTTACATCTGCAGAATTGTTCGGCTACCCATCAGCCAACCAGGGGGCGTGTCCTCACCAACAAAACCCCGCCCCCTGCAATCGACTGGCGGGACCGTGGAGTGGTTACCCCAGTGAAAAACCAGGTCATTGTCCAACATACACACATCTCTCTCTCTCTCTCTCAATCCTCTCTACTGTATATTTCGCTCTCGGAATTCTGAGCACATTTTCGACGAAAATTCTTCTCTTACTTGGAATGAAAATAGAGACCCACTTAATTAATTATACTCTCCCCTCTTTTCTCTCTGTCTCTGTGTGTCTATGTGGTATAATATGTATGTAGGGTAACTGTGGGAGTTGCTATACATTTTCCACCACGGGCTGCCTGGAGTCTCACCACGCTATCAAGACTGGGGACCTCCTCTCGTTGGTTAGTCTATAATCATGTAGGGAGATGATTGCTGCGGATTACGTAACACATCTTCTCACACAGTCAGAGCAACAGATAGTCGATTGCGGTCAGGCTTTCAACAATCATGGTTGTGATGGGTAAGCTCCACACACGAAACAGTGGACTTTACTCTTTTACAAGGCAGCCGTCAACAGCAGTATATACCATGTTGTTAACTCTCAAATGTAATATATATTATGTTTTATGTTTTCTCATTCTTGTTCTCTTCTGAAGTGGGCTACCATCACAAGCGTTTGAGTACATTCGCTACAACAAAGGCATCGAGTTGGAGGAGGAGTATCCTTACGTGGGACGGGATGAAACGTGTCGTTTTAATTCCTCCGAAGTGGTTGCTACCGTCAGCGATGTCCATAACTTCACCCAGGTAATTATACTTATTAAGGGGGGGTGGGGGCAATTTGTCCCCCTTGAAATATTAATGCCTGCCTTAACCGTGGCTCAAATCATTACTTAGTAAATTTACCCATTATGCCCCAGGCCTAAACCCTTAAAAGGTTCATAGAAAATCCCTGCTGAAGCTTCCTTTGAAAGTTCCAAAGTTCCAGACTTCCAGTTTAGACAGGTGGTAATGTATTTATAGACATCCTGTGTTACGTTAGGCTTATGTGCAGGAAATTAGGTATTTATGCAGGAAGTGGAGGTCAAATGTGTTTAATGTACTGGGAAGGACCATTATTGCATCAGGTGTATGGCTCACAACACTTAACGGGATTCGGAGAAATTTTTCAATCAACACCGTTATGTTATAAATCACTATAATACTTCACCTCAGGGAGACGAGGATAGTATATATGTGGCAGTGGGAACCGTTGGTCCAGTCAGCATCTGCTTTGATGTGACGACGCAATTCCAATTCTACAAGCACGGAGTCTTCTCCAGGTATTATAGATTGCTGGCCGGTGCTACACGTAGGAACACCCGTAAAGAGTTTGGTGTTGTTAGGTGTGTGTTTGTTCGCTGTTGAACTTGGCTGATCCCCTAGCAATTAGTTGAACGCTTGGCACAGAAGATTGTTGAATTAATCTGTGTTGTTATAAACGATGCCGCCCTCTGTCTCTGCAGCCTACTCTGCCACAAGGATTCGCAGCATGTAAACCATGCAGGTATAATTATTATATTTCTCTCTGGGTCAATTATTATATTTCTCTCTGGGTCAATTATTATATTTCTCTCTGGGTCAATTATTATATTTCTCTCTGGGTCAATTATTATTATTTCTCATACATGATAATATATAGTTGCTCCATCTATTCAATGCAGTGCTAGCTGTGGGCTACAATGTGACCGAGTCAAATGAACCATATTGGATTGTGAAAAATTCGTGGGGAGCTGACTGGGGCATAAACGGGTATGTCGCCTTTTCTTGATTTTGCTGCACAGAACAATTTTTACCTTTTCGTGATTGTACAGGTACTTCTGGATTGAGAGGGGCAAGAACATGTGTGGGCTTGCAGACTGTGCCTCCTACCCCATAGTTTAGAGTGCATATATAGACTGTAGTGTATATTATGTAATGCCCTACTGGGACTGGACTTTGTTGACGCTGGTAAAAATTCCCTGCATTCCTGCTTCTTTATACACGTCTGTGACTGTATAATGTTTTATAGTGATCACGCGGTTTATAGAACGCTGGAGGCGGGCTCCTGCTAATTAATTAGCATACTTCCCGGTCTAGCTGCACATGCACACCCCCAACCGGATGTAAATGGCGTGTTATAAATGTAAATCACGCCAGCGTGGGTCCGTAAAGCGATCGTCGCCAAGAGAGTGAAGTAAACAAAGTCGTGCCTGGAGTAAAACGAGTGGCCGTCCACAGGGAATAAAGCGTCCAGGATAATAATGTGAGTGTCCCATTCTTTCATGCACACGGCTGAGCTGCGTGTTCACGCCGCCCCGAAAAGTAGGAAGCGTCAGATCACGATCTCCAACTTGCAGACTGCTTTTTTAGCTCTTCCTACCAAGAGCCAGCCTCGCTCTACGCCCCACGGGCGTGCAAGTCACTAACAGGCTGCAAGATCATGGGGTACATGCACGGATCGTTTGTTGTGTGTGCGACTGGAGTGTGAGTATGAAAGGGAGCTCTGTGCTCCGCTCTATGGCGCTTTGTGCGGGGTGTTGGCTGAGCACTCCCATAAAAATTAATGGCCTCAGTAAATTAAATTATCCAAACATTATGCCCTTGAAAGTGTAGCTATATTTGTGCCCTCTGCTGGCATAGAGCGTGCCATGCATGTATATGCTTGGTTGATCAGTAATTATTGACGGAACCAGATTTTTAATTTTGTGAGAATTATGTCACTTCTTGAAAATATAATTCCACAGCGGTCTGGTAGGTGGCCTGATTTGCGAGAGGCTGTCCTGATTAGCACCGTGGCATGTGAACTTTACCATACAGCATTAGTCACAGTGTCACGCTCCCCAATGCCTGAAACCAGCCAACTGACCACTTGCTTTGACTGCCTTTACAACACTCTCACTTCTCTCCTTTCTTTCCCTCTCTCTCTCTCTTCCTGCTCTCCCTGTACTCTGTCTCTCTAGCCAGTCACCCTGGAGATGTTAGCTGTTACTATGGTCCCTCGCAGATCGGAAATGGTAAGCAGAGATGGTGGGAGAACTTTGTCTCCTCTTTTATGTATGGTGCAAGCCCCATTCCCAAAACTTATCGTGACACCCATGCCCTTGCTCTCCCTCTCCTTGCATGTGTTTTTGACTGTGAGTTACTCCGAATATTGTTGCTCTTCTCGTCTGTGTGAAATCAGAACAGAGAATTATCCAGTGAGGGCCATAAGAAAAGCCGCGGAGAGTCAGAGTTGAAAAAGTGTCTTGGGAGCGACACAGATGAGCTACTTTTGAAGAGTGAGTCACCCCCACCCCTTCCTCTCTCCCTCCCTCCTTCCTTGCACTCTCTTTCCTTCCCTAGACCTTACTGCTTACACTGTCCCATATTGTAGAGTGCCTTTGAAAGATTTCCCTGCATAGTTTTGGGACAACTTACATTTCCTGTCAGGCTAAAATGTCTCAGTGCATGACCTGGACACCCTGTAGTATATATGTTACCTGGACACCCTGTATAGCATGTAGTATTATATATACCTTAGAAATGTATGCACATGTTTCCCAAATAGAGGTCCCACTGTTTGTATGCACTACGTGTGATACACAGCAAGGAACGATCTAGACACTCTCAAATAGAGGACACCTCTATATAAAGGACAGTTTTCTTGGTGCCAGTGTGTCCTTAATGGTGGTTACACTGGGTGTGTGTATATACTACTGTGTATAGTGGGAACCTGTATGTAGGGTAGGAGGCATTGTGTTCTCTTCCCACACCAGGTACTTTCCATAATGTAGTCATATTATACTCAGGTTCCACCCACAGGGGGTCCATACGGGCATTCATTGGTGTTAACAGTATTCATAGCCATAGCCATAGCCGCTGGACTGTAAATCCTCAATTCCTCTCCTTGCAGCTTGGGAATTGAGAGTTACTTGTCAACTGATTCCAGCTCCTTTCCTCATCTCTTCCTTTTAAAAAACTCGATTTTGCTTCATTGTGTTCTGTCCTCCTATATAGTCACGTGTACAACTCATAACTAGCTGTGACTAGCTGCCTACTCACCTCCCACTGAACCTCCACTTCATGTAGTTTGTGCACTGAATGCTACATGTGTTCGACTAATATTCCAAAGCCCAACACATGTCTTGCGACATGTCGTAAAAACTAAGAAGCCATTTTAATGCCTCATTTTATGGACTCAGTGTGTAGACCTTGAAAACGTGTGTAAGGGGTGTCTGTGTCTTTTGACTAAGATATCAGAACCCTTTTACTTTTCGTTCAGTTTCGTGACTAATGCATAATGTATTTCAAACTTGTGGTTATATGTGCCCATTATTATTTTTTTGGGTTTTTGCTTGCAATACTTTTGCTGTTTGTTCTTTTTTTTAATGGAGATGTAAGGGGGGGTGTCTGTGTGTTTGACAAACCCCTTTGTTTATGCATTCATTTTCAGTGTTTTGCGTCTAAATGTCTTTTTCGAATCGGGTGTCTGTGTATAAAACATGTGGTGGTGTTACGGTAATGATTGTCGTCGTATTTTTGATAGCAATACTTTTACTTTTTGTTCATCTTCCTCTTCTTTTTAACCCCCCCTTGTTCTCCACAGGCTATTCTTGTGCCTGGCAGAAGGAAATACTGGTCCAGGGAAGACTCTACATCACAGCACACCACTTCTGCTTCTATTCATCCATCCTCGGATTTGAGACAAAGGTGACCTACATACACACAGTTTCCCACACCCTTGTCTCCCATCTCTCTCACTTTTGACCAAATTTCCCACGCATGAATCTGGAAAGTATAGCCGAGTTGGCCACAGTTTGTAAACCAACTGCATACGTGCCTCAGCTGTCCTTATATATAATTTGCTTGTTGTGTACAACAGGTTATTGTATATACAAACCATAGCACGGCTCAGGCAAACCATAGCATGGCTTATCCGCACCACAAATTTGGCCAAAGTCCAGCCAACAGAAGCTAGTGTTAGACAGCTAATATCCAGTCCCCCAATTCAAATTCCGACAGCCCAAGGGTGTAGTTTGTTTACCCTCGCGACTACACCTTGCACGAACCCTAGAGCTCATTAATAGAGAGAGTGGTATGTTCATTGGTGGTGATTGTTCAAGTACAGAGGAAAAGGGAGGGGTGGCTAGGTGGCTACAGAGGTATGAGTGCTATGTACAAGTGTCCCCTTGTCTGTTAACAATGTGCAACACTGCGTGCATTCAGTCACACACAATTTACTATGCATTATGTATGAGTTTA